AGAAGGTTACCGCTGCTATTGAAAGGGTGTATTCATCAAAGCATCGCCATTGCAAGGTATTTGTACCAGTCGATCCTCAATTAGCCGTTGCCACAGGAGCTGTAATGTGGCGTATGAATCCAGAGAAGATTAAAGCAAGACGATCAGATGCTACTTACGGGATAGCAACAACACTACCTTTTGACCAAATGAGACATAACCCACACCACATGTTTTACAACCCAGAACAAAGAGAGTACAGATGTCGATCAGTTTTTAATGTATTTCTTGAGAAAGGTGAAATAGCAAGTGCTGACCAGGTCATTACTACCTGCATGACTCCAGCCAGTCAATCGTTCACTCAAATTAGTATCACCATTCACTCAACACCATATCTTGGGATACAGTACACAGCTGATATGCATGGTAGGAGCACAGTCTACAAAATAGGTCAACTTGTCATCAATATACCTAACCCTCGCAACCTACCATTGCATCAACGTATAGTTGACATCACTATGGATTTCAGTGGTACAGAGATACAAGCTAAAGCAAAGTATCGTATTACTGGAGAAGAAGTTAAAACTGTTTGCGACTTTCTTTCCGCTTAACAATTTTTTGACAATTTTTGTTTTTTTTAATAAACAGTTTCAGCATTGTGACTACTGTAAATGCCCACATGCGCCAAAAGTTACGTGTACCAAAAGTTACGTGTGCCAAAAGTTACGTGTGATAATTCATGACATGCATCCAGATCTAATTCCAAGAATAACTGGTTCCATTGTAAATATAATTCCTGGAATTGGTACATGTAGTCTCTTATAACAATATTCATGATGGATTATTCTTGGAATTGCTTTAATTCTCAGGAAACACACACTATTTCTATATAAACCCGAAATTGAGAAGTTCTTGTCAATTGTTCTCACAGACACATCATGGCATCAGGAGGATTCTTTGCAATTGGCTTTCGAAGCATTCAGATCATTCAAGTTCGACTTCGAAAACCAGATTATAAGCCTCCCTTCAGAAAAGCTAAGAAGATTCCTCGTGAAGATGCTGGCTATCGTGTTACAGATGGCAATATTGCTGCTATTGACTTTGGTACTACATCAGTGTCACTGGCTTATACTACTAAAGGAGACAAAAAAGTTTCCACACTCATACTTGACCATGAAGACAAGTCTACTCGTGTTCCTAATGCTTTCCTTTTGAAGAAAGAAGATGATGGCAAAATGAAGGTAGAAGATTTTGGAAGCATAGCCCGAAAAAAGTTTACATCAATGAAACCAGGTGATCATCACACTCATGTCTACTTTGAGAGGATTAAAATGTTAATGAGAAGAGAAAAGGTAAATATATTATATTTAATGTAATGCTTTGTTATGTACATGTATAGGTAGTTGATAGAGATACAGTAGTTGAGTCATTTTCTGGTGAGAAGTTCTATCTGGTTGAAGTCATTGCATTCATACTTCAGCACCTGAAGGATCTATTGATGGATCATTTCTCTCGTACTGCCTGGCCATTGAAGACAACAGATTTTGATTGGGTCATTACTGTACCTGCTATATGGGATGCACGAGGAAAAAGAATGATGAGAGAAGCTGCTTATCTGGTAAGTGATGTTGTAATAGCTATTTGACATTGACAATTCTAAATAGGCTGGTCTGCTGACAGAATATGGTGGTATCAGCAGGTTCACTCCAGTTTCTCATCTCTCTTTGCCTCTTCCTGATGAATATAATCCTGATAGGCTATCCTTAGCACTAGAGCCTGAATCAGCAGCTCTTTATAGCCAGGAAGTTGTTGCAGATCAGATTGAAAGTGATCCAGACACAGCAATTATCCAACGTCCATCAGATTACATGGTAATTGATGCTGGAGGTGGTACAATAGATATCACAGCTCACATTGAGGTCGATGGTAGTATTGTAGTTGAGAATATACCGACTGGCAATGCATGGGGTGGTACGCAGGTCAATGAAGCTTTCTCTAAAATTCTTGAAGGTATAGTTAATGATCCTGGATTTGAGAAGTTCTTAGCTTCTGGAGATCAATCTCAAACTAATGCCGATATCATCAAAATTTTTTATACCGAATTTGAAACGGGGAAATTGCTCTTTGGAAAGGAGCAAACAAAAGAAATTTGCATTTCATTTCCAAATCGTTTTGCTAAGTTTTACAATAAGGCTCTTGAGGCTGGTGTCAAAAGGAAAAGTGGTATCGATTATGAAGATGATGTGCTATACATCTCAAAGGAAGTAGTGGAATCCGAGTTGTTTGGCCCAGCACTAAAAGGTATGATAGAGTGCACTTTACAAGCTATTGAGGATAATGATACCGATCTTAGCACCTTCTATTTGGTTGGTGGGTTCGGAGGCTGTAGCTATGTTCATAAGAAGGTCAAAGCTGCTATAGAAGAAAGTTTTCATGGCCAGGGTCGTTCTTGCCATGTGATAGTGCCTCCTACTCCTCAATTAGCTGTTGCTACAGGAGCTGTTATGTGGCGTAAGAATCCAGAGAAGATTAAAGCGAGACGATCTGATGCTACTTATGGGATAGGAATATCTATACCATTTGAAGATGATAAGCATGATGAGTATTACAAGTTTTATAATGAAGAGCAAAAAGAATACAAATGTAGTGATATATTTGATGTGTTTTTAGAAAAAGGAGAACTCATAGAAGCAGATCAAGTGATCACCACAAGTTTAACACCACTTCGTCAATCAGATGAACAAGCTACCATTGGTATCTATTCTACTCCTAATCTTGGAGTTCAATACATCAAAGATAAAGATGGTGAAAGCACAGTTACCAAAATTGGTCAAATAGTTATTGATATTCCTAATCCTGATAATCTGCCTAGAGAAAAGCGTCTAATTGATGTCACTATGGATTTCAGTGGTACAGAGATTCAAGCTAAAGCAAAGTATCATATAACTGGAGAAGAAGTTAAAACTGTTTGTGACTTTCTTTCTGCTCAATAAACTTAGACTGATAGCTTAATTTGTGCTTATTACTTTTCAGATTAGATCTATATATTAGTTTTTGTTTTTTTTAGAATAAATTTGTAGTAGATATACTTCAAATAAATTATAATAAGACAAAGCAGCAACAGAGTCTGTCCAATACTTGATGGAAATATCAAGTGTGCATTGAATGCCATTGAAAATAACAAGCATGACATTGCCACATTTAATCTGATTGGTGGATTTGGTGGCTATAGGTATATTCAATAGAAAGTTACTACAAGAGATGTACTCACCTGATATGCATGGTAGGAGGCTAGGAGCACAGTTTACAAAGATCTCCTATATGTCTTTACATGTAACATATATGTCAACAGTAGATCTACTTGTCTCAGAAAATAAGGAAGTGTTATAGTTTGAAGATAAATTGTACTAAAATTTGCTTGTAATGTGAGACAAAAATAAGTAAATTGCAACCATCATTTAGACTGTTTCTAAATAATTAAAATTAACTTTATTGTTAAGTTCTGATTTTGTTAACTACTTGTGAGGTCAGTCATCAATTCCAAGTAATCATGAATCAGTAGTTCCAGGAAATCATAATTCATAGTGTGATACCCAGGAATTGTTATGATGGTATTGGCAGTCAATCTATAAAAATACATTGCAATAATCTACTCTATCAGTTCACACAATAGCTCGTATAGTGCAGCAATGGCATCAGGAGGTATTTTTGCCCTTGGAATCAGAAGGATTGAAATAGTTCAAGTTAGACTTCGAAAGCCAAATTATAAACCTCCTCTGAGCAGAGCTAATAAAATTCCTCGCGAAGAGTCTGGTTATTGTGTTACTGATGGTAACATTGCTGCTATTGACTTTGGAACAACCTCTGTTTCACTGGCATATACTACCAAAGGAGATGATGAAATCACCAGCTTTAAGCTTGACACAGAAGACAAATCCACACGTGTTCCTAATGTTATTCTTTTGAAGAAAGAAGGAGGGAGGAAGGTATCAGTAGAAGCTTTTGGCAATGTCGCCAGATCACGATTCACTTTAATGAGAAAAAATGACCATCCAAATTACATCTATTTTGAGAGGATTAAGATGTTGATG